AATTTCAAGTAGGCATCATTTACAGTACATATCCATTACGAATCATGGAACTTAGCTTACAAAACACTATGATCATTCCCTTGGCTCCCATCAACAAAAGAGATGACCAAAGGCATGAGCATAGGCTAAGTCCATTCCAATATACAAATCATAATTCTATCATTGCCTATTAATTACAATTCTATACATGTGAGCTACAAAACAACATGTATAATCTCAAAATTGCAACACTTCATGCATATGCTAATCCAGATATGGCCACTCGCCACTGGTGGCTCCTGCAGCATCCTTACCTGAAAGGGGGTCCCCACAACACGGGGTGAGATATACGAATATATCCAGTAAACCAGGGGTCCTTGGAGCATCTCTCCACCCCACAGTTCCATATCAGTGTAATAGCAATAACAATAATAATGCAGTAAATACATATCTATGCAAAGTGCAATACATCTCCAGGAGAAATCCCTCGAGCTCTCAAGCTGTCCTAAGGAAACTCAGATGCAAATAGTCCTACTGGCCAGCTAACTACCAAGTATGATTTACGCATCGTCATGCCACATACCAACATAGGGAAACACCATCCTATGCGACACCAAATGTATACACATACGTATAACAAAGCATTACACTATTTTATTGCATTTATATACACAATCACAACCTCTACCCTTTCAAGGCTTGGTGGAACAGTCAAGGGAATTACACCCAAGGTCTGAAGGCTTACCTCAATGCTTCAGTCAACCTTTGTTCACCCCCAACAGGTTCCACAGTCAGTCAATTACAATACTCCACTTTTCAAACAAAACCTACACAATGTTTAATGCAATTAACACATATTGCATCCAATAACATCTCATAGCTATCAATCAAGCTATACAATTCATACCATACATAAGCATGAACTTACCTATCCAATGGAGCTAATCAAGCTCCATAGCTTGCTCCAATGGTTGGTCTCTCAAGGTTGGTTCAATTGCCTCAATCCTAGACAATACCAAGGCATAATCAACAACCAACCAAACCAAACCATTTATCAACAATGCAAGAAATCCAATATCTAAGTGTCATATTCTTGCCATTTTCCAAATATACTCATTTAGCTATCTAAGCTCATTTTCACCGATTAAACGTCGTTCCTAGCATTTTTCACAACATGCTCTAAGTCTCATTCTTCCTAGAACAAAGCAAATTCAACTACATTTCATCAAAATCATCCCAATTTCAAGGAATTATGAGGTTCAAGGGGTAGAATCTTACCACCAATGGTTGCACAACCAAGCAAGGAGCGTTCCTCAAGCTCCCATGGAGGTTGAAGCCCTCAAAACCCCAATTTTCACCAAAGGGCCGAATTTTTGAGAGCCAAAATCTCTCTCCACAATGCTCCCCACTCAAAACTAAGCTTAGATTATGAAAGAGGGCGAGATTCTAAGCGATTTAGGCTTTTGAATCACCCAAAACGGTCAAGGTTTCCTCCCTCCTCTCTCTCTTCTTCTTTCTCCCTTTCTCCTCCTTCTCCTTCTTCTTCTTTTCTTCTCTTCTGGCGTCGACGGGGGATGGGGAAAATGGGTTCTTTTTGGCTTTTAGTCACTTAACATAGGTTAAGTGGCTTTAAGCGGGTATTGGTTCGTCTATCTATTCAACTCCAATAATTACCAAACTTTACCCAAAAGTCTGGAATATTATTCTAGGAATATTACTATTTTTATTTTTATATTTTGGGTACTTTTGCCAGTACCAATTTATACCCCTTAATTTTCACTGAGTACATTTTTTAACTCCAAAGTGACTCAGATTCATTTAATTAAGCATTATACTTAATTTCACTCAGTAAAACAGCTTAATTAATTAATTACACTTGATTTACTAATTAATTAAGATGGGCTATTATAGGGCCCATAAAGCAAAGGGTCCAGATTGTTCAAACCTTAAGATAAACTCTATAAATAAGAGGTAAAGACTATATATATAGATCTCTCTTTTACTATTATGTTATCTCTGTGCACACACATCACCTATTTGGCTAAAGCCTCATAGTTATGTACGGTGATTTGCTACTTCTAAGGTATCTAATTCATAGATACCTAGAGAGAGCACAAGATCCAATATCGATCTACTGGCCCTAAGCTAGACATCTCAGTCATCTAGACATAACACAATGTTAAAAACTTCTACATTGGTTAGGTTCAATTACTAGTGGAAGAAGTACTAGATTAGAACCAATGCCTAATTAAATTCAATAGAATATACTAGGTTTTGATATAAAATATGAGTTTATTGTTTCTTATGTTACTGGAGATAAATTATCTCCTATATATACACATAAAAATTAATGTTTCTTATGTTATAAGAGATAAATTCTATCTCTTACACACATATAAATGTATGTGGGACCCATATTTTCTTTCTCTGTCTTCTCCTCACATGGATCCTGCATACTTTTATGTATGTGGAGGAGATAAAATTTTCTCCAACAACATTAGAAACATTTACCCTAAAATATATCATAAGTAATCAAAGTACAAGAAGCTTCAATAGAGGAGGGAAATAAAGATTTGTGTATTTTTTATCTTCGTAGAATTGATGCGTATTTAAACACAAGAATTAATTAATCACACTAATTAACAAAAAAATTAATAAATTTACATAAGTTTAGGCTATCAAGTTGCCACAATTGAAAAGACCCTAAATAAAAATTACGAGATTAATAAACCATCACGACTGAATTTATTTTTATTTTATTATTCTTAGTGAAATAAAATAAAACACGTACAAATAATATAAGAAAAATTCATAATTTATAAACATGTGAAATGAGATATGTAGTATTAAGCTCAAAATTTATGTTTAATTCTTGAATGAGAATTGGATACCAAAACACATTAGACGAGACCCCTAGTATATAGGCGAAGGGAGGATGAAGAGATTAGACCTCTCCAAATTTTAATGGGCTACACTCATTTCTTTTTTGTTAAATATTTTTTTTATATTTTTTGCTATCAACCAAATATATGGATAAAAATAGATGCCCAAAATTTTATTTGATATTTTATTTATTTATAAATAATTAAGACAAAATTAAGTGCGTACAAAAAGCAACTAATCCAATTCGAACATTGTGGTACTGGACTCATATACAATCGAATTTTTACCATTTAAATTAATAATTATTGTTACAAACTTTTAGTTGAATAAACGAGAATTCAAAACAATAGGAGAATTTAAAACTTTTAGTTGAATAAATTCTTCTATGTAAATGCATTGACTGTCATTTATATCGAATGAGCAAAATTTTTTTATTTATTTTTTTTGAATGCTTTGAGTTAGAAGGAGGATGAAAATGATTTTCTCATTATAAACAAAAACTGCGGCAGCGTCAGATCAAAATAGAAAATATATTAACAAGTCCATTTCTCAGAAGAAGAAGAAGAAAAAAAATTGTGATAAGTTTGGTAACTTGGAACGGAGTGGAACTTTGACTCGATTGGAGAGCATTTGAATCCGCAGAGAAAAGAAGAGAATAAGAAATATACAGTTCACAGACGCACACTTCAAAGAAGAACAGCTTGACCAGATGACTTACGCCAATTGTTGGGTATGGCTCATACTTCACATGATGATGTTGGCCCTAATTGTCGGGGTCAGCAGAAAGGCAATTGGGGTCCCGCTCCCAGGTGAGCGGGCGGGGGTTCGGGGGAGCCGCCCCAGCGGGGGTCCGGGGGGCAGCGCCCCCAGGCCCGTAGAGGCTAGGTAATGTTTAGGCCTCTGTTTCTATTGTAATTTTCTTAGCAGTTTGGGCTTGGGCCCATGAATAGCTGCTGTTAGGGTTTTTTGTAATCCTATTTATATTTGCCTTGTAAACCGAGAGACTTGTAACGAGTGGCGGTGAGGTGAATATAGTACAGACAAGCTGGACGTAGCCTATATTGGGTGAACCAGGGTAAATCATCGTGTCAATCTCTCTACTCTTATCTCTTTTTCTGTTTTCTCGATTCTGTGTGATTGTCGATTTCCAACAATTGGTATCAAGAGCTTTGGTTCTGCGACCAGGGTTCCTGTGACAGATTGGGGTTTCGCGATTTAGGGTTTTTTCTTGGCATAGATAAAACTGCGAAATTGATCTGGAGAGGATGTCGACTGGCCAATCACGGGTCGAGGTTGAAAAGTTCGGAGGAAAAGGGTTCGAGTTATGGAAGCTGAAGATGGAGGCTCTGCTCGTTGACAGGGACGTGTGGTACGTGATCGAAGATGATAAGCCGTCCGTACCAACAAAACCTGTCGGTGAAGAAACGTCAGGTGATGGCGAGTCGAAGGAGTTGAAGGCGTGGACCAGAGACGATCGAAAGGCGCGAAGCCTGATCTGGTTATGCCTGGCTGACAACGTTCTGGTGAACGTAACTTCTGAGAAGACCGCGAAGGATCTCTGGACGAAGCTGGGAAGTCTCTATCAGAGCAAGTCACTCGTGAACAAGCTGTTCCTGCGAAGGAGGCTGTATAATCTGCGGATGAGCGAAGGTGATTCTTTCTCTGCTCATTTAAATGAATTTAATACTATTTGTGCACAACTTTCGTCTATAGACATTAACCTGGACGAGGAAGACAAAGCTTGCACCTTGTTGTGTTCACTGCCCAACTCTTGGGAGCACATCATTGTGTCAATTGGTACTAGTGTTAATAAACTGTCGTTTGAGACGGTTGTTGCTGCCTTATTGTCTGAGGAGATGAGAAGGGTAGATTCTGAAGGTACCAACAATGAGGCTCTGGTTGCTAGAGGGAGGAGTGATGACAAATCAAAGTCTGGTCACAGAGGAAGATCGAGGGGACGATCAAAGTCCCGTGATAAATCTGATAAATCTGAAATGAGGTGCTGGAGGTGCAAAAAGGTTGGACATCTGAGAAGGAATTGCAGAAGTAAAAGTGTAGGTCCTGAGAAGCGGGATGATTCACAACCGTCTGCTTCGGGTACAAAGAAGGATGATGATGATAGTACAGGGGACCTGTACATGGCGTTTGACAGTCATAATGACTGTAATGATTGGATTATTGACACTAGAGCATCGTTTCATATGACACCTCATAGGGAGTGGTTCTGCACCTATGAATCGTATTCTGGCGGTACAGTTAGAATGGGAGATGACACGACTCATGCAATTGTGGGGCGTGGGAAGGTAAAGCTGAAGATGAGTGACGGGACAGTCAAGAATCTACCGGGTGTGATGCATATTCCGGGGCTTACCATAAATCTGATCTCCGTTGGTAGTATGGCAGATGCTGGTATTAATTTTAGCAGTGACAAGTATTCTTGCAAGTTGACTCGAGGAGCTTTGGTTATTGCAAGAGGAGAGCGTCATGGTAAATTGTGGAAACTGCTGGGTAGCACAGTATTCAGTGGTGAAAGCTATGTTTCAGAACAGGCGGAGGAGGACACTGCTATGTTATGGCATAGGAGGCTGGGGCATATTGGAGGAAAAGGTCTGGAGACTCTAACATCAAAGAAGTTGGTGGATGGAATTTCGAGCTGCTCTATGGGGTTTGGATTTTGCGAGCATTACCTGCAAGGGAAGCAAAATCGGGTATCTTTTGATTCCATAGGAGGAAGAGCTGAGGGGGTTCTGGACTTGATACACAGCGACGTGTTTGGCCCCACACCTGTAGCATCACATGGAAAATCAAGGTATTATGTTTCTTTTACTGATGATTTTTCAAGATATGTGTGGTTATATTTCTTGCGCATCAAGGATGAAGTGTTCGATAAATTCTGCGAGTTCAAGGCTTTGGTGGAAAATCAATTTGATCAAAAAATCAAGGTGCTGAGAACTGACAATGGAGGGGAGTTCTGTTCAACAAAATTTGACCAGTTTTGTGCGAGCAATGGGATTGTAAGACAGAAGACTACGCCCTACTCACCTCAACAGAATGGGGTGGCAGAGAGGTTGAATCGATCTCTCATGGAGAAAGCACGGAGTATGCTGAGCGGTGCAGGCTTGGCAACTGAGTTTTGGGCAGAGGCAGTGGCTACTGCTTGTTATCTGAAGAACAGATCTCCTACATCATCTTTGAAGGAGAAGACTCTGTATGAAGCACTGTTTAAAAAAGGCCAGACGTATCTCATATCAGAGTGTTTGGCTGTGAAGCTTATATGCACGTACCCAAGGAGAAAAGAAACAAGCTTGACAGTAAATCTGAAAAGTGTATCTTTATTGGGTACAAGGATGGCGTCAAAGGTTATAAGTTGTGGAATCCGGATACTAGAAGTGTAACTTACAGCAGAGACGTTGTATTCAGAGAATCTAAGTTGAATCAGATTTTTCCTGAAGCTCCTGAAAAGTCACAGACGGTGGAGTTGGATGTGGGTTTGAAAGAGGATACAATAAACTCACAGATTGAATTGGAAAATTTGAATTCTGAAGCTGCTGAATATAATGAGGTAGAGGATGAATTTTCTGAAACTGAGGCTGAGGTTGAAGCACCAGTGCTGAGGAGATCCACGAGGGAAAGAAGACCATCTGAGAGGTATACACCTGAAAATTATATCCTGTGTGCTAGTGATGATGTTTGTGCATTTAGTATTACAGGTGATGATCCGAGCACTGTAAAACATGCGAGGAGCTCGGAGGATGCCAAACAGTGGGAGGAAGCTATGAAAGAAGAGATGAAGTCTCTGATGAAAAACCAAACTTGGAGTTTGGTGAATCTATCTGCAGACCGAAAAGCAATTGGTTGCAAGTGGGTGTTCAAGAAGAAGGTTGGTGCCAATGGGGAGATTGAACGCTACAAGGCTCGATTGGTTGCAAAGGGATATTCACAGACAGAAGGGGTTGATTATGGTGAGGTATTTTCACCTGTTGCAAAGTTAAATTCCATAAGACTGGTTTTGTCTGTAGCAGCTGCATATGACCTAGAGGTGGAGCAGCTGGATGTGAAGACAGCTTTTCTTCATGGTGATTTGGAGGAGGTTATTTTCATGAAGCAACCAGAGGGGTTCATTGCAAGAGGCAAAGAGGAGCTAGTCTGCAAGCTGAATAAATCTCTGTATGGCCTGAAGCAGTCCCCAAGGATGTGGTACATGAAGTTCGACACTTATGTGCTGAAGCTTGGCTTTGACCGTTGTGATGCTGATCACTGTGTTTATGTGAAAAGGTTAGAAGGTGACTTTGTTATTCTAACTTTGTATGTTGACGACATGTTACTCGTTGGAAACAGTTTGAAAATGATCAGCACTGTTAAAGGACTGCTAGCAAAGCAGTTTGAAATGAAAGATCTAGGCGCTGCAAATGTGATCTTGGGTATGCAGATTAAGAGGGAGCGTGACAAACGAAGATTATGGTTAAGTCAGCAGAAGTACATAGAAGATGTTCTGAAGAAATTCAAGATGACTGACTGCAAGCCTGTGTTGACTCCCATGTCTACTGGTTCTAAGTTATCGGCTGACCAGTGTCCCAAGACTGAAGAAGAAAAAGAAGAGATGGCGTCAGTTTCTTATGCTAGTGCAGTAGGGAGTCTGATGTATGCCATGATTTGTACTCGACCTGATATTGCTCAAGCAGTGGGAGTATTGAGCAGGTATATGTCCAAGTCAGGAAATGAGCATTGGACGGCTGTGAAGCGTGTGTTCCGCTATCTTCGTGGTACGTCTGACCTTGGGTTATGCTATGAAGGCGTGAAGGGCTCAAGGGGACAGACATTGTTAGAGCTGAGATGCTTTGTGGATGCTGATTGGGGAGGTGACATTGATAGTAGAAGATCTACAAGTGGATATGTTGTTTCTTCATTTGGCGGAGCTATCAGTTGGATGAGTAAGAGGCAGAGCATTGTTGCTTTATCTTCTACAGAGGCTGAGTACATGGCCTTGACACATGCTGTTAAGGAAGCTATTTGGTTACGGAGGTTGTGCAAAGAGCTTGGCTTTGCACAAGGAGAGATGATCGTTGGGTGTGACAGTCAGAGCGCCATTTTCTTGGCTAAGAACCCAGGTTTCCATGCGAGGACCAAGCATATCGGCATACAGTACCACTTCATCAGAGAGAAGATTGAAGACAAGGTTGTATTGCTGGAGAAGGTTGACACAAAGGTCAACAATGCTGATTTTCTGACCAAGGCAGTGACTTCGGAGAAGTTTGAATGGTGTACAGATGCATTGGGATTGAAGAAACATGTGAAGCATTCACCAAGTGGAAGAATGTTGGGTATGGCTCATACTTCACATGATGATGTTGGCCCTAATTGTCGGGGTCAGCAGAAAGGCAACTGGGGTCCCGCTCCCAGGTGAGCGGGCGGGGGTTCGGGGGAGCCGCCCCAGCGGGGGTCCGGGGGGCAGCGCCCCCAGGCCCGTAGAGGCTAGGTAATGTTTAGGCCTCTGTTTCTATTGTAATTTTCTTAGCAGTTTGGGCTTGGGCCCATGAATAGCTGTTGTTAGGGTTTTTTGTAATCCTATTTATATTTGCCTTGTAAACCGAGAGACTTGTAACGAGTGGCGGTGAGGTGAATATAGTACAGACAAGCTGGACATAGCCTATATTGGGTGAACCAGGGTAAATCATCGTGTCAATCTCTCTACTCTTATCTCTTTTTCTGTTTTCTCGATTCTGTGTGATTGTCGATTTCCAACAATATGAGCTGATGAGCATGTAAAATTACGATTTAGTTATGTCTCGAATAAAGTTTGCCATGTCTATGTAACGTGATAATTAAAAAATACTAATTAAGTAGCTGTGAACTGTGAAGTTGGAAGGAAGACGTCTGATTGAAATAGATACTGTTGAGATATATAAAATCATTAATATAGCCTAATTGAACAGCTTAAGTTTTTGAGTTGAATTGATTCTTTAACAAGGTATCAGACTTCAGTGACCATGAGATTACAAGTTCGACCTTCACTATCCCCATTTTCAGGTGGAATTAAGAAAAGCACATGGCATACCAAAAAAATAGGCTTGTGCAGCACAAGGCAGATCAATAATGAGCTTGTGTCATATCCACGCTTAAGCTTTTGAGTTGAATTAGTTCTTTACAGATACTAATTAAATAAGAATATGATAATTAAATAATGCTAATCAAGTAGTATTATTTAATTAATTCAACAATACTAATAAAGTAGTATTAGTTAATGAAAATGTGAAAATGATTTTACATCATAAAAAATGTGATTTTGGAGTACACAAATAAAAAAAAGTGTGATAATTAAAATAATTCTAAACACGTAGGTCAGAACAATACATTGATATTTTATTAATTAATTCAGCAACGTGTGACAGGTGCCGACCAATTATAGTAAATCAAGGCCTAGTTATGTATCGAATAAAGAGACCATAACGCGGTATTCCATTCTTAAATATCCCACAGAAGTATTAAGGGGGCGTTTGGTACAGGAGAAATTTTTTATAACCAGGTAAATATAAATAGTGGGGAAATGGTTGTAAAATAAAAGAAGTGGGGAAATTTAAAAAATGGTGTTTGGTAGACCGAAATATAACCAGGGAAATATTGTAAAATTTACTGAAACCATGTTTGGTTGAAAATGAAAGATTGATGGGGAAATATGACAAATTTCGAAAATACCCCTGATAATTAAAATAAAAATAGGTAGAAAAGAGACGTTAGGTAACTTTTCTACTTACTGGTTGAAAATACCCCAGGAGGATTGCACAGTTGTGGTTCATTTCTCTGCTTACTGGTGCATGCCTTCTATAGCTATGAATCCTTTCTTCAAAGAACTGGCCTCCACCTATCAAGATGTTCTTTTTCTAAACGTGGATGTGGATGAAGTTAAGGTAACTTTTGTGTAGAACCTTTGAGAATTGGAATGCATATAAAACTATTTAGTCCTTATACCATCACATCTATGTGATTTTCAATTCATTTATTTCTATGTATGTGCCTCTCTAATTTGCAGAACATGCAATTTATCCAATATCCAGTGACTCATGTGAAGGGTTGTCCACAAAAATATTACCATCTAATGTTTATTTTCAGATTCCAAACCCCACTTTGAGGTCACAGGGGCCGTGTTTATATCAGCAAGCATTTATTCTAACCTAATGTAAAGGAAAAACTCATAGGTTTCAACAATTTAACTTACTAAGTATATTAATTGTAACTTTGATCCGTGACCTATAATAATATCTTTTAGATGCTATCCTTTTTGGGTGGTTTCAAGGGACAAATTATATGCATAATTGCTGAGTATCACTTGCATTCATAATCCTCTTAACCTCTTTTTTTCTACTGCTCTGTGCATTATGTGCCTCTATCTAGAAATTTGCCTCCACTTTGAGGTAGTATAGGTTGTGTTTATATCAACAAGCATAGTATTACTAAAGCATATTTCCATTCTAATCCCACTAAGAAATTCATATAGCTTTCAAGCCTTTAATTTATAATAATGGCATTATTGATCATAAATATTTTAAATGTAACTTTGCAGATGATATCAATACGTCACCAATAATATAATGTCATTTTCATTTTTTTTGGGTGGTTTCAAAGGACAAAATCTACGCAAAGTTGCTGAATGTCATTTATATTCATAATTTTTTTAACCATCTTTTGTTCTGCTGTTATGTGCAATGTGTGACTCTATTAGGAAGTTGCCTCCAACTTGGAAATCAAAGCCATGCCTACCTTTTTGTTGATGAGTGGAGGAGCTCCAGTGGATAAAACTGTGGGTGCAAATCCTGATGAGATAAGGAAAAGGATTGATCGATTGATTCACCAAACTCATTACTCCAATTCAATATGACGCATGAAAACATTGAAAAGAGTTTGCCATAGCTGTAAATAATGGGCAAACATTGAAAAGATGATGAGGACAGTGCAACTGCTACGATGATGAGGGATTTGGGAGAGACTAATTGGACAGATGATGAGCTGAACACCCCAACTACTTGATGACTCCATTTAATTTTTTTTTTTTTTTTGATAACAGACTCCATTTAATTTTCAGTGCAACTGCTATGTGTTGTTAGAAATTGATGTAAGTTACTTTTGTTGTATAAGCAAATGGATTGTATAAGCAAATGTATAAGCAGATGTTGATTATACAGTACATTCTGTTTGGATGATACCATTTAATTGATGCTTCTCATGATACAATAAGTATAAGCGAATGTATCCTATCACAAAAGTACAGTAAAAAGACAGAGTTATGGATCCTCTGTCATTGTCAAATATTACAATGGATTGTAAATTGAAATAAACAGCATAGCTAAACCATGACACCGTCTTAACATTAATAACACACATCTAATAATTCTGCCTTTATACATAAATGAAATAAAAAAAGTGTGGCATTTATGCAAATTCTCTTGATGCCCTCTTTTAAAGCAACACACAGCCCAGCCAAAATACAACAATACTGACATGATGGCATACATTCCCAAACTTGAGATAATTAACAAAAAATATTACAACAGCAGACTGTCAGACTCTTCCTCCGCGAACAAGTGCTTGTAACTTGACAATTCCATACATACAGCATAATGTAGCAGTAGCTTGTCTCCTAACCAAGTGCCCACGAATAAGTGCTTGCAACCTTATTATGCCTTTTAGAGCCCTAAATGCCCTCCGAGCCTTCATGAAAGATGCTTCCATTAGTTATATTATAACACAAAATATTCAAATTTACAAGAAATATCAAAACAGAATTGTCCAGTTACAAGAAATATCAATTCCACATAACTTCAAGTCTGATCTTATCATAATTTGATTTATAATCAAAACAGAAAATCAATTCCACATACTTACTATCCTTTTGCTGCATTCATCTAAATATCCTATGTTTACAGTTCACAATTCTTAATTTCTTCAGACTAGAAGACACTTGCAATCTAATTAGTAAAGCTAGTCTATAAAACAGTAAGTCACATACCAAATAACCCCTGAAAGCGGTGCAATCTTTTAATCCTTCTTTTTGATTAACAAGCTTCTATAACATATGCAGGTCCACGTCAGATAGGCAGTTACAATATATAACAGACAAGTTACAATATATAACCGACAAGTTACAATATATAAACTTGATCAGTTACAATATTACAATCTTACAATATATAAACTTGATCAGTTACAATATTACAATATATAACAGACAAGCTTTTAATCCCAATAAGTCAGTTACAATATGTAAACTTGATCAGTTACAATATTACAACTCGGGTAACAGTACCTGATTCATATAATAGACAAGTTAGTTACACAAAAAAGGCTTCAACTACACAGGTACACGTCAGATAGGCAGCCAAATGGCACATTTACACAATTAAGTTACATACGCAAAAAGGAATAACCTACACAGTACAAGACAACATATATGCTATACTTTGGCTGCCTACAACTGTTGTAATATTAACAGTATGGTGTAAACAAATCACAAAAAATGATCATGCAGGTCCAAAAAACATCATGGTTTAAAAACAGCATGGCTATCTATACACCACATCCAAAAAGAGTCTTCTGTTGACAGTCACTGCTGATTGGCCAACATCCCAGCCACCAATACTCTTCTTTTATTTTCATTACATTGCATGAAGACATCCGTCAGATTGCTATCCCTGCCCAATTGCACAGCAACCTGAACCATTTCTGTCTCGGTCAAATCTTCAAATTTCTCTAACTCTGTCACAATTGACATTCGCCTGTGGTTACCCTCAGCTTGATGTTGAAAGCAAGCTACCAAGTTGTCTATACTGGCAGTGGACTTCCTGTAATGCTGACTAAGATCCTTCATCACATCAACTACCTCTACAACCATTGGATCTTCACTTCTTTGTCGTTTTTTTCCCTTCTTTGCAGTAGCAGTAGACACTGGAGAAGGTGGGGAGACCTCATCGACTGTGATGTCTGGCATTGTAGTATCGACACAGGGTGTGGGTATGTAGTCCCCAGTAAGGTCCAGATAGTCGTCGAAGGCAGTCCCACTCCCACTCTCTGCATTCAAAGTGGCATCTCGCTCCAAACCTGCAATAGATTCTGGAGCTTCCTCTGCATTAACTCCGGATGCAACATCTTTTCCGAAGACTGTACCTAAACTGTCATAGTGGGGGAATGGCTTATTGAAAAGCCCCTTTGCACTTGGGTGGCTCTGCAGTAACATATGTAACAAGTGGTTAATGTCAAATAACACAAATTTGTGTAGCAGATTTGCAGATCAGATACAATAAAAATACAAACTCCATTTTACTAACCTTCACCCAATCATCGAATACTTCTCTCTCCACATCTATCATTTTCTTTGCATCATTCCACCCAAACCCGCTCCCACTTGGCCCGATCATTTCAGCAATGGCGTTGTATTGTTTTTTTAACAACTTAACCCGGGATGTGATGTGAGGAATACCTCTGAGTGTGCATCCAGGTATCCTTTGGCGCATGAGCTTCTCTATAGCAAGCGAAAATCCAGGTTTAAATCCATTTTCCCCTTTCCAACTTGACCCAATGTCAATGAGACACTCAACAAGGATTTTGTCCTCTTCCGCAGTCCACGTATGATTAGGCCGTTTCGTAGTTGGCTGGCTGTCTTGGGCCATGATGTTGAGAGTGCTCAAGTGAATTCTGCTATGAGATAAAACTCTTGCTGAATAAGAGGTGCAAAAATAAGTTATATTAAACAAAAAAATAAAAACATTATAATCTTGTTTATAATGGTTGTCGCTGTCTAATAACCTGAACAGGAACATATAATAATAAATAATAGTAGGGATCAAATGTGAACATAAAACATCATATGTAGATAATAGTCAACTGGTCCAACATTTTACTTAAGGTTTAACTAATACTGAAAACAAACATAAATAGAAAATACAATGACCAATAACAGATGTTATTTTCAACCACGCCTCCTCCACGTGTTCCACATCTGTTGCGCCATATCGTCCCTCCGAAGTGACCATGCATTAGATGACTCCACATGAGTGATCAAATCGGTTGCTGCCATCTCCTCTTCAACATGTGCATTATCCACTTCACGATCCTCTAAAGGGTCAAATGTCATTTCTCTTCTGATGTGGTTATGAAGCAAGCAACATGCAGTTATAATCCTCACTTGCGTCTTAACCGGATAAAATGACTTCGACCTCACTATCGCCCAACGCCCCTTCAGCATCCCAAAACAGCGTTCTATTACATTCCTTGCCGAAGAGTGTTTCATGTTAAAAAATTCATGCGGTGTTGTTGGGTGTGCCCCATTTCTCCACTCACTGAGATGATATCTTTGCCCTCTATATGGTGTAAGGAAACCTTCTGCATTCATGTACCCAGCATCACACAAGTAATAGTAACCTGAAAAAAAATGGCAGCCATTACACATCACATTTCATGTATTTGTCAAGTTAAATTCGTACCAAATAGGAACAATGTAAAAAAATATTTAATTACCTTTTGGCACCCGTAAACCATTATTACGAGATATGGCATCTCTGAGGACCCTTGAATCTGCAGCCGATCCTTCCCATCCAGGCAGTACATAAATAAACTGACCATCTTGTGAACAAACCCCCAAGACATTGGTTGCTATGTCTCCCTTCCGAGTGCGGTATCTAGCCTTATCAGCTAGTAAAGGATTAACCTTTATATGTGTCCCATCAAGAGCTCCCAAACAATTCTATAAAATTCCAATCAAAAAAATATTTGTAGCAGGTAAGAGTAGCATTGACATCAATTTCAACAACAATATATTGTAACATTTCCTCCTTTGTATGTTAAAATTACCTTGAACCACTTCCACCTTTCGTCCGTTGAGTTCTCGAGTACTGGCTCGGGTCGTTTAAATAAAACTGTATGACACCGTAATACAGCCAACAACACATGGGTGAACTGCCTGCTAATTGTTTCACCAGACCTCATGAATTGCCTTTTAATTATCCTATTCTTAACATCATGTGCCAAAATGTGAAGAAATATTGCTACCATCTCTTCTACACCCATATGCTTCGTCGGTTCAAGCCCCCCAATACTTTTGACTAACTCACATAATTTAAAAAAAGTCCTTCTGTCCATCCTTGTATTCTCTATACAAGCAGTGTCACTTAAATGAATAATTCTGTGGTAATTTACTTCCCTTGTCCTAGCCCTACTACAAAAATCCCATGTCACCCTCCTCCTCCTTTGACTTCTCCGTTTTAAAAGATCGCGTAACAACAAAGCACACAGACTGACTAACAACATTGTCAATTGATTCATACACTGCAAATGAGTGATGAGTACAACAATGACACTTAACTCCATTCCATTGTTCATTGCCATAAGCTAACACAAATAACGACAAAACAATTCAGTTTCCGGTCAAAAACAACATATCACAATCCAAATAATTCATGGTGAAATGTCCACGGGCCATTTGTAACATCATAATTAAATACAAGTAATTTACATGATTTTTATCCGCCCAAAAAAAGTGAGTTTTCTTTAACGTGCTAAACAGTTCTTTCATGCAAGTGTAATTGACCTTAAAAACATTGTACAAGACAGATTGAAACCTGTTTCATTCCCTAAAAATAGTTATTGCCTGAAGCATGTATCATCTATTTCTTTTATGGCGCTTTTCTTTAAAAGTCAATATATTAAATCATATTTACTATTGCACAACTATTTCTAAAGAAATAAAAAAAATTGCATGTACTAAATCCTCAGCTTCTGGTCCACACTTATATTTGGGAATAATAACCATTTTTCCCATAAAAAATTTAACTTGTTTGAAGCCTACTAAATGCTCGTTTTGTATTCCAAAGTTACAGCCTAAACCATAATAACATACATACAAGCATTCATTGAGTGGTAAGACAAATATTTATATGAATATCCAACCACCGATTACGCACTGAACTGTGTTCAAAAAAATAAAAGTTAACATTAACGTCACATGAGCTTAAGCCAGGCAGAGTGAGAACACAAAAGTTAGTATCCTCTCCTTGCAGGAACGGAAAATTGTTAACAGGAAATCCATTGTTTCGAATCAATGAACACTATGAAAGGACTTACCAGAAAGGGTATGTGAAGAGGATGTCTTAGATCCCTCAGAAGAACCAACGTAAAAAGCCTCACTTCAGTTTTGACCACAAAAAAGTAACCGTGTTGTGTTACCTCTGTCCTTCTCCGTCGATTTTATGCTACCTGCTGGAACACGGACAAGTTAGAACAACAACTAACATTTTGTACATCATTTTTGTCAAATGAAAAAACAAATAGATGATGCGTGAGAGTTTCATTCCCCCACTTGCCACCGCATGCAATGACTTTGTTGAACTAATACCAGGGTTTAGATTGACGAAGACCCAGATAACATCAAGCCAAAGTGTCTACAACAACTTCCATGAAATGGGTCTGTTTCAGTAGAAGTAAGGAGTCATCGTATTGTAATCTGTTCTTCCTGCGCAAAATAAGGACCACACACAGGAGAGAGGATTTTAGTTGCTGATTATCAGGGGCAAAAGGGTAACAAAACGCGCGCCAAAAATTCCATTTCCCTAGTTCTCTCCAAGTACCGCCTCTCAGCTCGGATTTGGAAACAGTGATTTGGAGAAAAAATTACACACAACACACCGAATGATGGGGAAACAGCTTCCCTACTATTTTTTTCCAAACTCTTGTACCAAACGAGGCTGTCTAAGAAAACCTATCTCACTTACCCATCATTCTCCCTAAAAACCACCTACCAAACACCCCTAAGGACAAAGTTTGCTATGTGTATTTAAGGTGATAATTAAGTAATACTAATGAATTAGGTCAGAACAATACATTAATATTTTATTAATTCAGCAACGTGTGGCAGTTCCCGATCAATTAGTATATAAAGCAGAAGCAGAGCAGTTCATTCCAGAGCAAGTGACAAGTTTGGAACATAAACACATTATTCGATCAATCAGCATTCTCATTCTCATGGCTTCCACAAATGATTACAAAGCAAGTGAGCTATTCCAAGCTCAAGCTCATTTGTACAGAATGATGTATAGCTTCCTTAATCCCATGTGCATCAAGTGGGCCATTGACCTTGGCATTCCTGATATCATCCACAATCATCCCCATCCCATTACTCTTCCTGAGCTTGTTTCTGCTCTTAATGTTCCACTTTCTAAAGCTACTTGTGTTGAGCGCCTCATGCGCTTATTGGCACACAATGACTTCTTTGCAATCATCAAAATCGATGACACCAGAGAAGCATATGCTCTTACTCCATCTTCACAACTCCTTGTCAACGGCACTGATCACTGTTTATCTTCGATGGTTCATTTGTTAAATAGCCCTACTCTTGTTGGCTCATATCATCACTTGGGAAAATGGACTTCTGGGGAGGACCTCACGATCGTTGAGACCGCATTAGGACCCGGAGGCTATTGGGATTTTATTCATCAAAATCCCACTCATTTGAAGACATTCAATGAGGCTATGGAAAGTGATTCTCACGTTGTAAGGTTGGCGTTGAGAGATTGCAAATCAGTTTTTGAGGGCCTCGATTCCATAGTTGATGTTGGTGGTGGAACCGGAAACACTGCTAAGATTATATGTGAGGCATTTCCTAATTTAAAATACATAGTGTTGGACCTTCCACAGGTTGTTACAGGCTTAACAGGAAGCAACAATTTGACTTTTGTTGGCGGCAACATGTTTAAATCTATCCCTCAAGCTGATGGAGTTTTACTCAAGGTATTTATACCAAAAACTATATAGGAATTATCATAACTTGCTTTCTCTTCACATACGTCTAGTAGTATTTTAGTCTAACAATGACATTCATACATAGGTTTATTTCTCAATGCAGTAATTCATTAGCATATGTTATTGACAGTGCTTCTGCTTCTTCTGACCCTCCATTTATTGTTATTTTTGCAGTGGGTTTTACATAACTGGAGCGATGATGATTGCATAAGGATACTCAAAAATTGTAAAGAAGCCATTTCGGGAAAAGGCAAAGGAGGAAAAGTGATCATCATAGACATTGTGATAAATGAAAAGCAAGATGAGCTTGGAATGACAGAAGTAAAGCTCTTGCTTGACATAGCTATGATGACAAGTCTCAATGGGAAAGAGAGAGATGAAAAAGATTGGAAGAGACTTTTCGACAAAGCAGGCTTCGAACATTACAAGATATTCCCCACTTTTGGATTTAGGTCTCTTATTGAGCTTTATCCATAAGGCTTGTTGTATTTAACATTATTTTTGCGGAACTAAAATAAAATTTAAAATGAGCAAGTTGTATTACTAAAGCCATACAAAAGAAAAAGGCTATTGAGTTGCATGACTTTGGTTTCTCTAAACTTACTTCAAATATATGTATGAATAAAAGTTATAACACTCTTTGCATTGTTTATATTGTTTTCTGCAACACTTGCATCCTGGATTCCGCATGAGGGCTTAGGGAATACTTACGACACATCCTCTGTTTTTTATGAGAATAAATTATATGTACATCATATATACAAGCGCTCGAGTACTCCTTTTTCTGTAAAAGAATTTATATATGTTGGTGCATCTTGAATCTGTAATATCATACCATGGTACCTATAAACATAATTGCTAACAAACTAGTAGAATATACTTGAATATATACTACCAGGAGTGGACTAAGGGATTTGAGTAGTTTGGATGAAGTTATAGGTTGTAATCTCAGTTCCATTTTTGTATCAAAAATAACAAGAAGAATATAGTTGAATGTTAGAAGCTTATGAATGGCTAGGTTTAACCACTACTGGAAGAATTGCTGAGTTAGAACCACTGCCTTCAATAGATTCAACCTAGTAGAATGTACTAGGTTTTGATTAAAGTATATAATAAGAAATCAATGGAAGAGAAGCTTTTTTTTTTTTTTTTTTTTTGGTAAAATAGAGGGGTCAAGCCCCAGAAGAGAAGCTTTTAATAGAGGAGGGAAAGAAAGGTTTGTGTATTTTTTTATCTTCGTGGAATTGATGCATAGAAAAACACTAGAATTCAATACCCTATCAAATTGAATTACTATATAATTTGTTACAAACACGAGAATTCATTACCCAATCATATTGTTGGAAATGGGTTCCATACGTAATTATAGAAAGGACCCAAGTGTTAATTTGTGGAAAGTGGGAAGCCAATTCCATGTCTCACTGTAGGAAATGCAACAAACAGCATGCTGCAAAAAACGCCAATACCAATTGGCAATGCTGTAAGGATTTCATGTGTTTCATGTGAAGGTGATCGAAAGAAGCAATTCACCACATTCTGATCAAATAAAGCAATTGCTGCGAACACCAAAATTGACATTACTGCATGTATGAAATCTATAAACTGCAGTCGATATTTAGCTTCAAGTTGAGGTGGAAGGGTTGTTGATCCATCAATGACCCACAAACCATTAAAGGTGGCAAAGCCATAACGGACGTTCCCATTGTTGTCTCTGAAGCTATCAGTGAAGCATAGCAGGAAGCATGAGGCACCACAGAGAGCTAAAAGTGCAGAAGTCATGAACTTGCAAACTGAGTCACAGTTACCTTGATTGGTGAAGATTGGTGATAAAAGTTGGAAAGAAAGAACAGTGCCAGTTGGTAAATGATTGGCTAAATGGGCTGTGCTCTTAAATGTTTGACTCATGGCTTTCCGAATCAGATTCTGCTCTGCTTCTGGCACCTCCATATTGTGCAAGAGTGGTAGCTTTTGTTCATCATCATTGTTGGAATTATAGAGGTCTACTTTACCATCCATGGCCTTTTCTATTCTGCTTTGATTAGCTTTTGTTTGGCAGCATAGGTTTTTTGAAAATATACTTCTTGTATATAGTTGGCCAAAAAGAGAGAATGGAAGAGAGTAATGTTATGACTCGCAAGAAACACCAACTCATAACCAAATGATGGTAGCTCGGTTTGTGCCAGAAAACTGAGTTGTGGGGCTGAGAGCATTGTTCGATCCTCTCCCATATCATTTTTGAGAGGGGTTTAAAGTCTTAATTTCGGGACCAGCCCCGAATCAGACTAGTCACGAAGCAATGAACCAATTGGAATATCTCCCAAAAAAAAAAAAAAAAAAAAAACAGCAAGTGATAACTTTAATATATCAGCTTGTAACTTAATTTGTGGTTATTTGTTCATCAGTGCTAAAAGTAAGTCAGTTAGAAGAAAGGTTATAGGAGGTGTGGTTTTTTATTTTTTTGCCTTATAAAGCATACACGACAATTATGAATGAGGGGGAGAATGTGTGGCAATTCAGTTTTTAACTTGTGAAGACATAAGTTTGGTTTGAGTGAATGTTTTGCTGAGACGCAATGACTAGAAACTGGGATTTGCTTAGTTTCGCTTTATAAGCACATGATGCAATGTGTGCTCACAGGTTTCATGTGTGAATATTTAATCTTATTCTTAGCCCAGGCTGTTTCCATGTATTGGAATGTAATTATCTTTTTTTTATCTAACAATAAACGCTTCTAATTTGGATCTTCAACTTTTTTTTTTTTCACAGGTTTTAAATTCTCTATAATTTAGATGGTAGTACAGTACATAACCGAAGATGGTTTTATATTCAACCCATATATTTTAAAATTAATGCATAAAAATGTCGATAATATAATAATAAAGTAATAGTTGATTTTATACATAACATATAATTTAGCATACAATATGTACATAATAATAGTTATTTAATTTACCATTATGAATTGATCTCAAAATGTGTATATACTAAGGGTTATATATCTATAATGCAATAGGAAAGTCACTGTTTAGTCCTGCACACACAATAAGAATGTAGGGCCCACGGGTTTTTTTTTTTCTTTCCACTCATCAGACTTTCTCTCTCTTTGGTGTTGTATCTGCAGGAATGTTATTTTTTTTTTTTTCTGTAACATTACAGATTCATTTCCCATATACTAATATGCATAGTATCAAAAAAACAAAAATAGATTATTACAAAAAAAAAAAAAAAAAAAAATAGATATGTATGCAATTGAAGGGTATGTTTGAACTTTCAAAACCTCAGGCCCAAGACAAGGAATTCATTGGGCTTGTACATGTACTTGGTGGGCATCTTTCTAGGCCCGATCATGCCAGAATGTGGATCCAAACAAGTCTCCAGAGAGTTTAGCATAATGACACCAATGGAACCTAGGTTAGGCTAGACTCGGCTTTGCCTTAAATAAATCAGAATTGTGTAAAAAAAATTGGATCTGGCTTGACCTGTTAGTCTGTGTAGGTCCCAAATTACAAGTCTAGCCTGGTTTATATTTAAAAAATAAAAGTCTTGACCTAAATCTGTTAGTCTATTTAAACCTATTAAACATTCAACAATTAAAAAAATAACTAAAATAATATTACTTTATGGGTTTGGTGTTTGTCATTTTAAATGACATAAGTTATGTCATTTTAGGAAAGAGATAGACACAGAAAAATAGAAATCATGAGAGAAAGAAAGTGGGTGATTTTTTTTAATCTAAAATTTAAATAAAAAAAATTATGTGTCTCTCTCTCTCTTAAAATGACGTAACCTTATGTCATTTAAAATGAAAAATACTTTTCTCTTATTTTATTATTCAAAATTATTAAAATAATACCGGCCTATAAGTTTATAAGCCCGATACGTATAAAAAAAAGTCTATGATCTATTTTTTAAATAAATTTTTTTAAGATATAGACCTATTTTATTTTACTATTTATAATAGACCAAATCTATCTAATATAGATTAAGTCATAAGTTGACGTAGAGCGACCTAATCCATTTATATCTCTAAATGGAACACTTAGTTTTTTTTTTTTTTGAAAATTGCGACACTTGGTTTTGTCCTGAGCGAATACATCATACGTGTGATAGAGTTGGATAAGTTGCCAGTTGCCAATGCATACGCCAAATCTAACTTTATTGGATCCTAGCCAGATATGGCTGACGTACCTCAAAATCAGCATCGTTGGTCTTCTTCTGTCCGTTTCCTGCTAAATCCCAATGCTTTCATCACGAGTAAAGTCTCTTCGTTTCTAATAAAATATATGATACTCATTTTAATATTTTATAAAAAAATTAGTTGTCTCATCTTTTATAAAATTCAAAGTGAATTCATTTTAATTCTTTTAAGGAATTAATGTGAATTTTTTTTAAATTTATGAAAAATCATAATTTCAATTAAATGAATCCACTTTAAATTTTTTAGAAACTGTGAGACTAATTTTTTTTTGTAAGAGACTAAAATGAAAACCAATTTTTTGTTAAGGACCGAAAATTTTTTTTACTCCTTTTATTATTCTAGAAGGCTTTTTCTTAGTAGATTACTCTAGAAGGCTTTAACAATTTATATGATATACTATTCAAAAATTTATTAGTTTAACTATGCACAATTTTATAGAATAGAAAGTAATAGGTGGAGAAATTATTCTCCACTTCAAAAATATATTTGATTAACTTTTTTTCTTTTTTTAAACAATATGGTGGGCCAATATTATTTTTCTTGTCGGTAGAAGACAATAACAGGAGATACTTAAAAAGCCCAAGGTAATATTTCAAAACAAGTTTTACACTCAATTGTGCATATTTATGCTGTTTGGTTGGCTAGAGTAATTTTGGTGGGAATAAAAATGGGAAAAGAATGAAACAATCGGAAAATAGAATAAAATAAAAATTTTGTAGTATTCATACCGAATAAACTAATAGTATATCATATTTTAAAGAGTTAAAATTATTCTTAAATCTAATCTAAAGCATAAAAACGTAGAGTTATTAGCCTAAAAAGTTATTAGGCTAAAAAGTATTACCTTTGTTCCTCTAGCATATGTGATTAATCTTTGCAAATTTTGTAAGGTGAATTAGAGTAAGGGTTAAGCTGAAAGGACTTAAAGTCAATGTCATAAAAATTGGATCAACCAGAAAACCAGTGAATCGGTCATGTAATCGGTCTGATTTTTATATTGGGCCGGCCATGTTACAGAATCAATGTGACCCAGTGCGACCCGGCTGATTTTTGTAAAAATCGATGACCTTGTCGGTTCAATCAGTGACAAGGCCTGGTTCGTAAAAAAAAATAATTTGTTCTTATCAATTAATGTCTTCCTTTTTTCACTTTCACATACAAATCTTTGTTTTCTTTTGAAATATTTGAGTGATCTGTAGTTTATTAACTTACATATATTATATACCTACAACACTAATATTATATTGGTTATGTAATATGCAGGGAATTTTTATTTGATTTATAGTTAGAGACGTCGTTTACTGAACCTGAAATATCAATATCACAAATATTATATATTTGATTAATATTTTGTTGGACAATGATCTATAATTTATTATTTTTCATATTAAAATTTTTGAAATTGGTATTTTTTTTACAAATATTTAAGTATATTTATAGTTTTTTAACATAAATTATAGATTTATATATACTTATTGGGTCATGCAGTTGAACCAGTGACTCAATACCCCAGCCGGGTTTAATAACATTCTTTAAAGCGATAGATGAGAAGTAACAATTTAATGAAAACCTCCTTGAAACTATCTTCCGACCTATTTTTCATTTCAAATATAATGGATTTGGATCTTATGGTTTTCATAGAAGTTGTAGATCTCTCTCTTATTTTACCAACGAGGCCAAGATTGCATCAATAAGAGTACAACCCAAGTTATGCCCAAAATATGAAAGTAAGAAGTGCAACCAGAGCGTGCTATAGCACGTTAATACGTCGATTTTTGCTGGCCCGAGCACGCTACAACGCCCTTTCCTCGCACTAGTACGCCCGATGTACTTGATCTGGTTTTGTCTTAGCACACTAGTTACATAACACAACGCAACATTTTGTGCACTGTAGTGCTCATTTGTGTGTTATAGTGCTTGTTTACAACTCAGTTATGGCCTATGACATGATTTTCACCCACAACAAGAATTCTTGGACCTATTTAAGCCATTCTTCAGAGGATTTTGACATCTCTTGAAACTGGGGATGTCTTTGACACTGGAAAAGCACGATTGCTTGGATTTTCATGCTTTTGAGAGTCAGATATGTGTTCAAGGCAAGAACAAGCTAGGATTCATAGAGATTCAGCACACCTTCATTGCCATGGAGTTTGGGGAAAGCTTTATGATTTTGTTTATCTTTGTTTTTGCCACAAATAGGCGAATAGCTAATTCCCTTTGTGGTTAAGGTTAGATGGAACTCAATTGAGTGTTTATGTTTCTAAATTAATCTCTAATATATTTTTTCCTTTTTATATTGAATGAATGTGTCTGTTCTTCATGCCTTTTATGATTTCTTCCTCTTATAGATTGAATTAGGACTCGTATATGACAAGAGAGATGTTAGTATATGAATTTGGTTTGACTCATTCATCATTATTTTGTATGATTCTAGGAAAAGACTTATGAATTGTGTCATATATCATTTTTATTATTCTTTATATTAGTGCTTAAATCTTTTGAGAAATACCAAGGAATTAGGATTCATTTAAGGGAGTAAAAAGTTAGAATACCAAGGAATTGAATTTTAACTAATTAGGAAAATTAATAGACAATATAAAAAAGATGATTAATTAAGGTTTTAATTCAGAACATAAAGGAAAAATTGGAAAAAAATTGAATCCCTAATTATGTTTTTCTTGATTGCTTGAATATTTGATTTTGTGTTCTTGTTTTAATTTATACCTTAATTATTAATTAATTTTTAATTAAATCTCTCATTTAAATTGTTCAACTTAAATAAAAATAATAAATTAATGCTTAAAACACTAATTTTTGT